ATATGTTAAGTGTTTGCAGCGAAAGTGAATGTAGAGAAGACAAAGGTGATGAAAATACCCAGCAAATAACAGCATGAACAACAAGAGGCACCAATCACCATTAACGGGAGGAACCTAAAGGAAGTAGTCTGTTTCACCTATCCACCTACCTAGGCAGCGTCATTTCAACTACAGGCGGCAGCACAGACGAGAATGTCAAAACCAGAATCAGAAACACAGCATGACAGGCTTTCACAAATCTGAAATCAGTGTGAAGATCTACTGCACTCAGCATGTGGAACAAGATCCAAAGTTTCAACACCAATTCAGTCAAGTCAGTGCCTCTATATGGTTCACAGACTTATCGAGTCACGAAAGGCATTTCCAACAAACTTCAGACGTTCATCAACAGCTGCCTACACTGGCTCGATACTGAAGATTAGATGTGAGGGTCAGAAAGAATAAGCAACAAGGAACTCTGACTGGCATTGAACCAACGAAGCAAGAACCTATCACCCAACAAATATACAGGGAAGAAATTGGAGATGGATTGGACATACACTGAGAAGGTTGACTGTGGACATCACGCGTCAGGGCAGGTCCTCGAGTGGAGTTCACAGGAGAAACGACGAGTTGGGCATCTGATGTGAGGGTGATATGGAGGAGATGGTGTGAAGAAGAAAAGGGAGCTTGTGGGCTATGGTGGAGCCAGGTTCAAAAGACTGCTGCGAAGAGAGTGCACTGAAGACGTGCTACTGAAGCCCTATGTTCCATTAGGAACCCAATAGAAAGATAAATAAATAATAGTCAATAAGTGTTTGCAAGTTTTAGCCGCTAACTGAACAGATTTTTAGCCTTCAATAAAATGTGATGAGATTACAGTTTAACTCACCTCATGTATAAAGACTTGAAAAATCAGGTGTTTGATAGGGTTTCTGGGATCCGGTTGTCATTCTTTTTGGACATCTCTGTCTGCCCCTTTAAGAATACTGATGGCAACACAAAGGTGTAAACCTCTGGTCTGAATGATGCTTTTAGGAAAGCATTCACTGAATTATTTGAGCCATAAATAAACGTTTCCAGAACTAAAATCAATTCTACTGCCAGCAAACTATTACTAACTACTGTTAGATTGACTAGTAGTAAGTCATAACCTCATTTTATTATTCGATTCTAAAATCTTGTTATGAAAATTGTCAACTTTTTTGAATGCATAGAAACCAAAAAAATGCAACCGGCCTACTGACTAGGTGATTTTTATGGGTAACTACAAAACGAGTTTATTGGTATTGAGGTGATGACAAATGAAAAAGAAAACTTCAGAATCTAAGTATCCAGCAAAGCAGAATGCAGTTAGAATGATTATAAATGTTATTATTCTGTCTGGAATCATTTTATAATTGGTCTGCAGAAGTGTTCATTTATCATTTAAAGTTTCATCATTAAAGGATAGGTAGTTAGTCTTGTAAGATATTATTATTGTGGAAGGAGACACGAAGCTTATATACATCTTAGCAGATTCACACATGTTCTTAGTCTTTGAAATACAATATGGAGTCCCTTTCCATATAATTGATGTAAGTTTATCAGTCTGTACAATTATAATTACTCGCAGGTTCCAGGCAAACACATAAGCTAATAGAATTTCGTATTTAAATGAACCTTTTCAACTTATATTATTTCATAACAGCACACAAAATGGAGGAGGATAAAAAAATGAGATGTAAGTAGGCAAAGTGAATGAGGAGAAACAAGAATTAAAATTTTTACTGAAAGTGTTCAATATTTCTCCGGACATTGTGAAGTGCTATATAGCACAGTTACCCTTCAATAAGTAAGAAAGATGTTTTGAAGGAAATGTGGGGGTTTGGAAATATTACAGGTCGTTTATTCATCGTAGACTGATGTCAATTGAAAGAACAAAGGTAACGTGCTGGCCACAGAACCTGAAAGTCGCGGGTTCGACCCCTGGCGGGGTCGTGGGTGCGCACTACTGAGGAGTCCCATACTAGGACAAAACAGCTGTCCAGTGCTCCCGGGTTTCCATTGTTCCTTCAGCTGATGTCAGTCTACAATGAATAGCATAAAGGATATTGTTACCGTGGATTGATGAGAAGTGGTAAATTATAAGAAAGGAAATTCATATTTGACTTGAGTTTTCTTCATCAAACTTAAGATTTAGTGAGTTTATTTATTTGTGTTGAGGACTACTCATTTCAGCTTATAAATATCGTACACAGAAGTGAGATCATAATGAAGACATTAAAGATGTAACCATTAAGTAAGTATTTTCCAAGTGATTTAGCGATAGAATTGAGCAGTTATAATTAACTGGTGACGATTCGTGACTGAAGAAATTCAGTGAACATGTTTGTCACAGGTAGAATGGATTCCAGAACTCTGTAGCAACTTCTGTCTAGTTGTACGAACTAATAAACCTCTGAAAAAAAAGATTTCCCCTTTCATTTTACCACTTAGCAGTAAAATATCTTAACGGCTGTCCTCGGTTTTCTAAGTGCTTCATTCAGAATGATAAAAAATGCACGAAAATAAATATGGCAGCAGTCAGACACCGATAAAATCTCATCTAATATCTACTCTTACTGCATCTTTGTGTTCACATATTTGTTCAGTAAGATGAAATGACAATCATCAAACTAGTTTGAATATAAGACCAAAGGGTTTCTAACTGTTATCACATGTTTCTAATGAATAATCGGTTGGTAACAAATAGTTGGTTAACTATACACCAAAAGACTGTAATATTGCGTTGTTTTGTTGTGTATCTAGCCATCAAACAAACTTTATCTGCTCTGTGTCTGGAAAGAATCATTCACTATGTATTGGTTGGTCACGAAAGAGCAACCAATTTCATGTTGTCTAGTCCTGAGTACAGACCGAATCCTATTGATCATATTTACAATGTGGCAACCAAGCTAGGAAGCTCAGCGTCACGGTGACCGTTGGTAAATGTTAGTTGGTTCATAGCTTCCTGCCAGTTACCTCCAACCAACTAAAATCTGCTAATGTGCATCGAGATGCAGAGCTTCCTAGCATGGTTGCCACATTGTAAATATGACCGATAGAATTCGGTCTGCAATCAGGACTAGACAACATGAAATTGGTTGCACTCTCGTGGTCAATCAATATATGTAAGCCAGTCCTACAGGAGGTTAGTAGCGGCCCGAATAGCTCAGTGGTAAAGTCGCTGACTACAACACTGTGTGACGCGGGTTCGGATCTCGGGTGGGACATCAGGTCCATCGAGGTTGCAGATACGCCTTGCCGACGAGTGCCAAAAAGCACGCGACCTGGGTCCAGGGCTTCCTGCTGATTGCCTCTAACCAACCAGAACCAACCACCAATCTGGCTAGTCGTTTTTTGATAATCCTACTACATCATTTTCTTTTTTCATATGCTACTCAAATTTTTGACAGGTTTTTGAACATTTAACTGATATTCCTTCAATTGTTTTTTTTTGTTTTCTGTCATTCACCATCAATCCTGTTTAAATATTCTTCGTTGTGTTACTTCAGTAATATCTCTAACACTTGTCACTCCTCACAACCTACATAATCTTATTTATGACTCAGTGTCAGTATGAAGTAAGTTCCAATTCAACTGTTAATTGTAAGGACTGTACTTTTTTTTAGAATTCCACCTCTAGCAAAGCATCTTTTCTGATGATCCTTCTTGCACTACAGCCAACATATGATAATGTTAAATACTGCAGTGACCCTCTATTTATGGTTGAAGAGAAACCATAAGATGAAGAGATGAGCTTTTTTTTATTCTACGAGTATCATTCTTCCTGTTTCAATGAAAGGCAGAACAATCCACTTAACTCTAGAGTTCCGTAACCTCATTGGTCACCGAATGATTCGAAAGTGTAAAGTGTTGTAAATACCGTAATCTCCTTACATGAATGGTGTTTAAACTTGAGTGCTATTTCAAATTTAGTTTGCAGGATCATGCCACTCAGCAACAAAATGTGCATCATCTTCTGTGAAGTCTATGACGGAAGGGAAGTAAAGCATCAAATGTGAAGGACCCTTCAAATGATGTTTTTCAAATCAGAAAAACCGTTCAGGTTGAAAACTAGGAGTATTTCACTACGGTTTACACTTTTAAGAACACAATGCATCTGTGGTTGTTAAAGCTCGAGTAAAGATATGAATTTACACAAATTATTTTTATCTGATCCTTTTTAAGGTAGGCTGTTGCATTTTACGCAGTAATAGGGGCATTTATAAATGAAACAAATTTGGTGAACGGATTTAAATAAACTTTAAATGTTGATTAACCTTTTGAAAACATGTTATTTATTTATTTCATGTTGGTATTCATCACCAACTGGTATCAGTTGGAGAACAGTTGAACATATAAGAGCACTGGACATCTATTTCATCCTACCATGAATCTATTCAAGCGTGCACACCCATGATCGCACTACGGATGGAACATAAGACCTTTAGGACGTTTCCACTGACCCACTCTGTCAGAATCCAGTGATCCACATTTCTTACTTCTGTCAGTTCATGACGTAGCGCAAACTACATTTAGTGCCGTCGTTGAGTCCAACTCGGTTGACCTTACCTGTCACGACTTATCATTGGGACTTCGGGAATCTCATTTCAGCATTGGAGGAGGGTTGCTCTATATCATGAACTCATGGAAGCAGAAAATGTGAACTATTAGATTTTGACTGAGTGGATCAATGAAAACGCGTTGAAGGTCAAGTATTCAATCCGTGGAGAGGTCATGGGTAGGCACTCTTGAGGAGACCCGTAGGGGGACGAAACAGCTGTCCACTACTCTTAGTTTCCTCCAACTATCAGTTCATGATGAACACCAATATGAAATCAACGTATTAAATCCCTACAAACCTCCAAACTGAAGATATTGTTTTTACAGTGATACTTCTGTTTACTTTGTACACTGTTGTATGCATTAGTTGACACGGAAGTTAAAACTGGTAAATTGTTGTCTTTTCATGATCCCCAATTTCGTCATTCTTATAGATTGTATACACTCGTATTGGTCGTATTTGCACCGAAGATGAAGGCTTTGTTATGCCAAATGATGGAAGAAAATTATTTACAACATTTTTCAAAACTAGGCTTGTGTGTCAAGTTCGCACAAATATTCATGACGGTGATGGGAAATACGGGTGAGCCAATCTACTTTACATTGCTTGGGTTATTTTTATGAAGTTTTTTCCCAGATGTCAGGTCCATGAAATGGACTTTATTCCTTTATTACTTAACTGTGAACAGGAATCAGTAATTTGTATTCTTGTACAAACAAAAACGAAGGTGTAAAGAAACTACTATCCTCTTTGTTGCATGCAGTGACGTAGTATTCTTCTGAGTTAGATATTTAGTTGGCAAAGATCTTAAAATTATGCTAGAAATTGTCATCAGTACACCACAGCTTCGAAAGGAAGTGAAATAATTGATTTTGGATGGTTATTTATAAGAAGCTACTTCGATCATCAAACCGCATGCAGACAAAGTTGCAAGTTATAAATATCCATGCAACACCAATTGTTTCATTTCCATATGAGGCTGTGTTACGCTGATGACAATGTCTAGCTTGACGCTGAAACGTTTGGTGACTAGAACTCCAGCTCAGAAGACAACTCACTGTGAATATCCACACCCTGAGCCAACAACCTAAAGATGACGTATCAGTCTACATGAAGTTGAAAAGCGTAAACCTCGAATAAAAAATGGTCATAAAATGTGGCGGTCATGGAAGAGATATTACTGAGAAAAGTGTTATGATGTTATTTAGATAACTTTCGAGAGAAGATTAACTTATGAAAAATAGATAGCTGTTATATTTACATAGTGTTTCACACAGACAATTTAAGAATTCATTTTTACTTATGTTGAAAACGGTAAAAGTTAAACTAAATCTTAAATGTCTTCATGATTTGTTTTCGAAGACTGAAATTTACGTCATTAGATTTTGTAAAGTGAGAACGTATTTTTCTTACATATGACCGGCTTTTGTTGTTTTGTTATGCTAAGTGAGTATCTGAATGATAAATTAATTCGTTTAACATCTTTGGATACTTAAAATTGCCTAATTTAACAGTAAAATGGTTTTTTGTTGATAAAGCCAGATGTCATGATGATTGTTTGGTTTAGAATTGAGTAACACTTATACAGACTAGTATGTATACATTGGAGAAAGTGCCACACGAGATACTAATTCAGAAACTCAGGAAATCTTCATAAAGAACTTTTAGTAATGGAGAATTGCAGCTCATGGTTTCGATTAGCACAATTGTCTCACTAGGGCTGAATGATCAGATAACTAGTCTGACTTCTTGTGTTGCTCATCACTTCAGCTGCTTCTGTGCATCGAGTTACGTCGTCAAGTGTTCTAGTCATTGATTTTTTCGTTCTCGTAGACACCTTTCAGTATGGTTAAATAAAGGTAAGGACAAAAATGTAAATACCTCCATATTAGTTCACTTATTTCAGGCAGACCATAAACCAAATATGAGTTAATCATTTTCTACCATTTACTGTGTTGCCATTAATTTATCAGGAGCTACAAGAGATCGAATACTTCAAATGACAGAAACTTTAACCATTTGGCTCAGGTACTCTGAATTAGATGAGGAGAAGAAATAGTTACAGCAATTACTACTACCTTGATTAGGGCTGGAATCGGCAATTCTCTGGGATAATTAATTTTTACCAATAAGTATCATTTTATAACCTGCAATAACGGTTGATTCGAATTGTAATAATGACTGACTGTAAACACACATTTATTCTCTCACAAACAATATGGATATGTCAAGTGCATTAACCATTCAGTCACTGGGTTTGGATTTCAGTGGTTCAAAGCTTTCAACTTCCGTCAATTCACGATGTAGCGTGATAATCACTCAGTCTTCAGTTGTTATCAGCTTCCCTTCCGACTGGTTGACCCCATAGGTCACGACTTCTCATTAGAACTTCTTGGTATTCATCTGGAAGCAAGGGACTAATGAGTAGTGTTGTATTTTCGAGATGCATAAAGATTTTTGTTTAGAGGCATTATTAATCACCGTATAACGTGAAGGTCTGGAGTTCGACCGCCAACCAGGTAGTGGGTGCATACTGCTGAGGGGTCCCATACTAGGGTGAAATAGTTCTGTATTGCTCTGAAGCCTTCAACGGTTCTCCAACTGCTGGTCCATCAAGAATACTATCTCTAAATTAGAATCCTTATTCATCTCGAAAGTATGGATATATTTCTTTGGAATCTGATGAAGAACATGTCGAAAAGAATATTCTTTGTTTCTCAAACTGTCTTTTGAATTACAGTGTGGATTTCCGAGGATTTGATCAGACTGTTTTAAAAACCTTGTTTGATAAATTCACTCTCATAAATGAGAGTAGTAGGAGATGATGAGATAAATATTGACTAGTTACATTGGCTGCTACTCTAAAAATTTAATTTTACTTTCCCTCAAAACGGTTAAGCAATTGTATAATAAAAACTGTTAACAGCTATATATTAGCACAAAAATCATTATTTACCGGGCTGGCATCAAATTGCAGAGAGGAAATAGGCTCCAAATCGTTCAGATGGAGGAAGCGGTAGCAATCAATACTAAACAACCCGAGTCACATGTTTAGAAAAGGCAGGTATTGCTACTACACTTATCTTAATCTAATATGGGGCTTACAAATTACGACGCATCCTACCTCGCCTAACCTTATTTGCAACCTCTACATTGTAGGTGTTCCCTTATCCCAGTAATCTGAAATAATTTTACAGGATTAAAATTTGGGCACTGTGGTAGGTTGTAATTCCATTTCACTACGTTTATTAGAAATGTCACACAGTGAAACAGTATCACTTACTGGAAAACCTTTCGGACACAATCTATTGTCCATATTCATATTAGGTAACTCCACAACTTTGAGACAGAGTTTATATAGTCCTAATTTCCCCCCTTCTTTTTGTAAGGATAGTAGAATTTTCCATATATCTGGAATGGGTGCAGAATCATTTCTGTAACATGTATAAGGTGTTGATTCAATAAATAAAAACTTGGTTTTCAATCTCTTCCTCCACAAGATTAAGTTAGTTTTTGATACTATAAGTGAAAAACTTGGGCACTGTGGTAGAATGTAGTTCCATATTAGATTTGTTTATTTGATATAAAGCGCACAGTGATACAGTATTATTTAATTGATTACGTTTCGAGCGTAAATTATTCCTCATAATCATATCAATGTAATCACACTTCTTTCGACATCTGATTTTATAGTCCTGTCACCTGATCTCTGTTTTTTTGTTTTTTTGATTGGTAGTAAAGTTTTCCATATCTCTGGTATAGGTGTTGCGTCATTCCTACTACATGTGTTGGGTGTGGATTCGATGAACAAAGATTCAGTAATTAATCTCTCTCTCCACCTAGCTATATTAGACTTAAGTACAGTGGTTTTGTCCCATCCTATTGTGTGGTTGTGTGTTAATTAATGTAATGCAATGGCCGAGTGTTTTTCTAGGTTATTGATCTTATTGGGGTCTGTCGTTCTATGTTTAGCTAAATTCCTATGTTCTGTTAATCTAACTGACCCCGACCGTCTAGTTTGACCTATGTATTTGACTTCACAGTCATTACATGGAATTTGGTAGATTATATTATTTTGCTTAATTTGATACTGTCGTTCTATTCCACTTTATTGAGTGATTGTGTGTAACTGTATGCATAGCTTTAGCCGGGGTTTTCTCTGAATTTCTTATCTTATAAGGACCTATAAATCTTGATTTACCCAAGTTTTTGTGCTCTGTTATTCCAGTTGCTCCCGGTTGGCTACTTTGACCTATGTATTTAACCTCGCAGTCATTGCAAGGGATTTGGTAAACCTAATTATTTTGCCTAATTGGATCAGCAGGACCTTTTAATCTACAAAGCTTGTTTCTAAGCAATTTTGGTAATTCAAATGACACTCTAATCCCAGACTTATTAAGATTTCTGCATAAAGCTTCTGAGATGCCTTCTTTGTATAACACAGTGGAGACCTCCACTACCTCCATTTTAGTCTCCAATTGTTACATATTGCGTACAATTATCCATATGATTAATTACTCTGAATTGAATTCCATTAATATTTGCCAGTAATACCTTTCACACAAGGAGAAATTCGATCCCTTATAACATGCATGGTTAAAGGACTGTTATAAGGAATCTCACTGTTAACTTGAAACTAAAAAAATACAGACATAAACTGTAGAACCTGAAGAAAAAATTATCAAAAGTAATACTCGTTCTTCATTCACTCTTCTTTTTTAATTTTGACGGGATATTTTAAGGGGATTAGCAAGTAAGTTTCCGATATCGCCTACGACTGATGTGATAAGTCCGTCGCTAACATTTGTGGAATCATTCGCTAATTGGGTATTACTTTTTTTCTAATCCTTCACATTTAATGAAGTCATCCGCTAAGCTGCTCATTAGTCCTAAATAGTTTTCAAGACTTAGCCATCTTACACAAAAATAAATTAATCACAGTGAAACAAAGCACTAGAGAAAAAATTCAGTACTGGTGACAAACGAAATCCGGAGTGAACATTACATCTCTTCTGAAATTCATATGCATGATATGTGTGAGTGTTTTCATGTACACTAAAACTCAGTCCTAACATGCATGTTTTTCAAATATTATAGCGTTATCGGTCACGTTTGGTTGGACGAACACAGTCATTGAAGCTTGAATTCTTAAATGTTTAGACAATGATATCGGGAACTTCATAAAGGATGTTAATACAAAATCAGGAGTAATTCGACTAAGTCTTGAAAGTCGAACTAGAACATAATGTTTATTGGTTCTTGCAGTTTTCCGTTGATTGTTCATTGTTTCCTTTTGATTTCGAGTCTCAGTGAGAATACTATCACTCACGGGTGCAAATATGTGAAGTTGACGAATCCCAAGTAGAGGTAAGCGAATCTCAGATTCCACTGTTAGCAGCCACTAAGGAAACTACAGCATTAAGCCTAGTGCACCTCAGATAACTGACTCCACAAATTTGACTGATAGTCTTTTGGCTGCTCCTGTAGTTAGTTCCGCTTGAACTGGAATAAGATCCAGCTAAGTTGATAGTATTGTTATTCTGAATAGCAGCGTATATTATACTTGCGGTATGAATATGTGA